GCGGGGGAGATGTTCTTTGGGCTGGTAAGACAGGTAGAAGGACAGGAAGGGAAGAACAGATGTGTAATCTGCTGGGACAGGAAGGAAGTGAGGGACTTACAGGAAGTTGGGCTGGATCTAGAATGACAAAGTTCACGTTTTGGAAGGAGGCTGGGGGAAACAGGTGCCTTGTGTGAAATGAAACTGAAGAGGTGTTGACAGCATGTGGAGCCAGCTCCACAGGGGAAGAGGGTGGGGAGCACGAGGCTGACATCACGGGGAGCTGCATCAGAAACGTCAGTGAAGCGAAGTACACAGTCTGCCAGGTGCCCTGTGGTGTGGAAGTCTGGGCGCTCACCTGCACAGAGTTAAGCGCTTTGTGAGGAGGAGGGTGATAATCAGAGCAACTACGACTTCTCTGAAGCCTCAAGCACGAGCTGTTTCGAATAACTGATGGATATTGACCTGTGTAATCTCTGAAAGTTCCTTCAGAGAGTTGCAGGTAGTTACCTGCCATTATTTCCCCCATTTTATAGATAAGAAAACTGAGGCACTAAAAGGTAAAATACCCAAGGTAACAGGGTTAGCAACTGGCATAGCCAGGATCCAAAGGAAGGCCTTGTGGCTCTAGTTTTTTGTGCTCTAAAAAAATCTCTTTGGAAGGGCCAGTACTTGGCCACCTTTGGCCAACACAAACAGTTTTGTACTATTGAACTGAAATTATTTCTCTTCCTCTCCAGGACCCACCTTTCTCTACTCAAACAAATCAAGACATTGGGTCAAACTGTTTATTGAATGTAAAGTGACCCCAGCCCCATGGGAAAGAAAAAAGTCCAAGGAGAACAGAGAATAATACAGATTAAATACCCACCTGTGCACTCATACTCTTACACACACACACACACACACACACACACACACACACATGCACACTTACACATACCACACACACAACAGCCAAGCTCCAACAGTGACAAATCAAACACCTGCCCCAGCCTGAGTGACAGCTGTGAGGAGGTGGTTCAGAGGTGGGGCTCCAGGATGGGTTCTAATAGCAGCAACCTTGTCCCCCACTGCCCTGCCTCAGGTGGCTGGATGCCTAGGAGGTAGGTGGCAACTCTTCCCCGCTCTGCCGTAGACGCTTCTTGGCTCGGATCTCATTCATGGCCTCTTCAATGGAGCGTGTGTCCCTCTTGTTGGCCACAGGCACTGGAGCAGAGGGAAGGTGGGGAGGGCCTAGGAGCCCTGTGCTGTGGCCGGGAGATCCCCTCCCCTCTCCCCACCCCTTGCTTCTCTCCCTGCCCTCCCCAGACTCCACTGTAGCCTCACCACAGCCGTAGGTCTTGTTGGCCTGTAGCATGTGGGCTGCATCCTTGGCCGCCCCCTTGCCAATGAGGTGGCTGTACTTGTCCTTGTAGTCGCTGGTGGGGCTCACCACCACGGGTCCCTGCTGGGCTGCCTCCTCCTCCTGCCGCTGGGCCAGCTCCTAGGGGTGCAGAGGTAGGGCACCAGTGCTTAGGGGCCTGACCCCAGCCCCTCCCAGGTGATGGGCTGCTGGGTAGAACTCACTTTCAGCTTCCGTTTCTCCTCAGCCTTCTGAGGGTCCCACTCCTCACCACGACGGTAGGAGTCCAGCTCTTCATCTGAGGGTGCAAACTCCTGAGGAAGAAGGGAATGATGGGGTCAAGGTTCCATATACATGTTTTCTCTCTTTCCTCACCCCCATGGGGGTACAGGTGAAAACGAGAAAGTGGGGAACTCAGGCCTTCACCTTTTTGAAGATCATGACATAGCGACACTCATCGTCTTCCCCAAAGGAGAAGGATGTCAGGCCAGCCACTTCCACCACATCGTGTCTGGGAAGGAAAGGCAGAGGGGAAAGAGTTATGTAGAGCCACGGGGGGCCTAGCACCCTCCTCTCGAGGATTCCCCACTGGGTGCCACCCTGGCCCCTGGCCCAGAGACACTCACAGTATGCTCCTCTCAATCTTACTCATCGGCTGAAACTTTTTCTTGATCTGCCCACTGTCTTGGATAAAATCTGACACCTCTTTCTCCATCTTGGGAGAGGGAAAAGGGAAGAAGGTATGAGATGATGGCTGCACGCCACTATCCCTCTCCCCAGCTGGGCCAATGGGCCTTTGCTTCCCCACATCTTTCCCAGACTCCATATGCCACTGGTTTCTGGGCTCCAACTGTCTCATGACATTTTCAAAAAAACTGAGTCCTCAACCTTCCAATTCTAACTTATTAGAAGTCCTTCCTGAGGCTGCCTTCGATCCTTCCAATTGCTCTCACCCTTTTACGGAACTCCACTTTCTGTTGTTTCTCTTGCTCCTGTAGTTTCTTCAGGCGGGCAGCCTGCTCTGGGGGTGAGAAATGGCAGCATGAGGCCAAGGGTGGAAGCATGGCTGGGGAGAGTTTGTAAGGAGGTCTGGTGTCCACTGGAAAGGGTCAGGCCAGGAAGGTAGGGTTACTGTCCATTCACCAAGCATTTATTGATGTTTACTCTATACCTGGCACTGTGTTAGGCCCAAGACCATAAAGATGATTAAGAAATAGCTTTGCCTTTTAAGAGTTCACAGTCTTGTGGAAGTAACAAAGATTAGAATCATGTTTAACCCCATTTCCCAACCCCACTGGGGAAACCAATTAACAAAATTAAAAAAAAATGCATACAACAAAGAACTACAAAGCACCTGGGGAGGTAAGAAGAGGCTAACTCCTGGGCTCGAAGAGTTTATCATTTCACTGTCTACATAGGAAACAGGAAATTATTTAACTTCCTATATTTTGTAACACCTGCACTTCTCACTTCTACAGCTAGGATGATACAGAAATGGCTGATTTAACACCCTTCTCCTTTGGAGGTTAAGTGTCCAGGGTGGACTGCAAAGGAACCTCTACCCTTTGGTCTTAATGTCCCCTAGACTCTCTCCTGCCATTTCAAATCCTTTATACCCTTAAGGCCCACTTCTTCCAAAGGATCTGAATCCTTCCAAAGGATCCATCTGCACTGAACCTCTTCCCTTTTTCCTAGCCACTCCATGCCATTGTACATGTTGTTCCTTCTGCTTGAAATGCTTTTCCTCCTTTGCAAACTTTGAAATCCACCATGACTCAGTTACTTCTTCCTCTGGGGCCCAAGCACTTTGGTTCAGACACTCTAGCACCTGCTGAGAACTAACATAATGTTAACTTTTTGCTTGTCTCTCCCACCAGACTATGAGTCCCTAGAAGACAGGGACCCTGTTCATATTCTATCCAGTTATTCTCTGTGGCCCCAGGGCCTGACAGCTGAGGAGCTCTCATCACTCTGACCTCAAGGGTCTCACCATCAGTGCATCCCATCTTGGCTACTGACTGTTCCCTAACTGGTCTGAATCTTCTCTCTGCATCTGAGGAGGTGGCATAAGATTATGTTTAAGAAGATAGGCTTAAAAGTCATACCTGGGTTTGAAACCCTGCTACTTAGTAACCTGCTGATCTCAGGCAAGTGACAACTCTCAACCTTAACTTTCTAGTCTGTCAACTGCCATTCGTGAACCCCACATGAACAGTAAATTATTTCAACTCCCAGGTTCTATTATGCTCCCTCCTTCATCGGCCTTTCAAATATACACGTCTCTGCCTGTAACATTTTGCTCTCCCTCCCTTACTGAATTATTTATTCTTTAGATCTCAGCTCACTGTAGGCTAGATTAGGACCCCTAGGTAGACGCCCTCCTAACAATTACTTTTCTTTCAGAGCATTTATCAAGTTGGTTATTAAACTTCTGTGTGACCATTTCATTAATGCTTCAGATTGTGGGCTCCTGCAAGGTACCCTTGGCCCTTAACAACCCGGTCAGTAAATAATGGGAGATATTTCGATAGTATTGATATTCGGCAGCACTCGAGCACTTTGAAAGCAGCCAGCCGGCCCTGACGCCCTTCGGGCCGGTAGGGCTAGGAGATGGGGTCCTTTCCAAGGCAATCACTCTGCCAGACTCATGCACAAGCCGCAGCGCGAGCTACCCAGTCAAAGCCCACACTGCCCGGCCGGCCGCGCCCTACGCTGGCAGCCGAACTTGAGACCGCCGGCTTGGAAGTTACTTGGAGAGCACAGGCGAGACTACGGCCAATCGGACCCGGCAAGAGCATTCTCATCCCTCCAATCAACGATCCGCCCGGACCGACCATTAACTTGAGGCTACAGGCGAGAGGAGAGTTCGAGGGAAGCAGAAGGGACGGGGTTAAACCAAGTAGGAGGGCCTAAGGAAATCGAAAGGGCTGGGCCAAAAGAAGGCCGGACAAGACTTAACAGGGAGACCTTTAAATTGAGATGGCCAATAGAGGTGAAAGGATTGAGGATGGGCATGCAGTAGACCCAATCAGAATGGGGATTGGGGGTACAGGCCTCTCCGGCCGGAGGTGGAAGAAGCCCAGCGGGCGAACACGCCCCCGCCTTCGAATCTGAAGGCAAGCCGAGGGCCGGAGGAACACCAAGTGGTTGGGTGGTGTTGGCATCCTACCAATCAGAGCACGCCAGCAGCAGACAGGCGGGCCGGTCGACAAATTGAAAACAAGGACTGTGGAAGGCCAGGGTGAGGAAGAATACGGGAGGCTGGCGCTAGGCTTCAGATAGCCAATCATCGTCCGCTAAGAACAGCGGGCGGGTCGGCAGCCCTATTACGGACTCTGGGGGTCTCTGAAGGGGCCTGTGAGGGGTCCTTCAAGGTTCAGAAGGCGGCATTGCCCAAAGAGGGAAGAGTGCGGTCCTGAGAACCGGACGAAGAAAGGCGGTTGTGGATTTGGGATCCTCACCTCGGGCCTTGCGCCGAGTCTCCTGGTCACCGAGGCTGGGTGGCTTTTCCATGGAGCTCAGGATGGAGCCCAGTAGGTCCGCCATCTTGGGAGTGACTGAGAGAGGGCGGTGCGTCTTAAAGGGAAGGGCGAAAGGCCTTTAAGGCCGGAAACGCGTCGGAGGCGGAAAACCACGCGCCCGCCCCGCCCCCTGCAGAGAAACGCCGGAGGCTGGGTGGTGCAGCGATGTTTAATGGCAATTCGTAGAAACCAAGCCCATGCACAAGTAGAAAGTGCTCGTGGAGAGGGCAGGAGGCCCCCACCGCGCCAGGGAACCATGGAGCCCGGCCGTGCAGCCCTCCCCGAGGCGCCGTAAATAGATTCTTCACTATACTCTGTATGTTACATTATGTACAAGCCCCCTCCCCGCGGGGGACGGGGCCGGGACTCCGCAACGCGTTTCTATATACAACCTCCCACTCTGGCCCCGAGATTGGTGGCCAGAGTCGGGGAGACGGGGAAGACAGAGCCGGAAAGGTAGGAAACAGACACAAACATGCGGAATCAGGGTGGGGTCGGCCCTGAAACACGAGGGGCGCGCGCGCAGCGAAGGCAGAGGTGGGACCGAAGTGGATACATTCAGAGACGCGTCGAACAAATAAATAAGGCAAGTCGGGAAGGGGCCGCCTTGGGTGCAGGCAGGGAGGGAGCTGTGGAGAAGGGGCAGGCAGGGCTCCGGAGGTCACTGCTGAAGATGCAGGTGTGTGGGGCGTGGGTCTTGTGGAGCCAGGGGCCAAAAGGGGTGGGGGTTCGACCCGTAGGGAATCAGAGAGAGGTGGGGGAGCTGAGGTGGGAGAGGGAGCTCAGCACTTCGGAGGGGAGGAGGGTGGAGACCTAGGAAGGGCTCCGACATAAGTGACCGGGAAAGCTGCCGACAGGGGGGCTCCCCTTCCCCCACAGAGCTCTCTCCCTTTTAAGACTGCAAGAAGCGGCCCCCAGGTGGTGAGAAAGGCGGTGGAGAGGTCAGGTGGCCAGTCCAGGTTGGGGAAGCCCTTCAAGCTCCTGGTTCTGCTTCAATTCCCTCATCCTGCAGAGTCAAGGAAGGAGTCAGAGGAGACCCGCAGATCGGGGAGGTGGGGTGGGGGAGGTGGCAGGGCAAAATCCAGTGAGAGAAGGGAAGGAATGAGTACCTGTGTCTGCAGCGCCGGAGGAATCTCATGATCTTCCGGGCTGCTTGGTCCTGCTTCTTGGTGAGAAAGGAGCCTCTGGTGGTAGAAATAAAAGAGAAGAAACCTCAGGCATCCCCTGGGCTTCAACCCCTTAGAGACCTCATCAGGCAAGGGCGGGCAGGATGATGTCGGGGGTGGGCATGGGTGCTGTGGAGGGCCACGAAGTGCTTGAGGGCTGGAGGTTGGACCCCTACTTGCTGCGGGCAGGCAGGCTGCCCGGGGGCCGGTGGGGAGGCCCAGGCCGGCGGCGGTAGGAGCGATAGTGCTGCTGGATGAGTACAGCCGCTCGGCGGCTTTGCTGAAATCGTTTCTGTTCATAGTAGCTTCGGAACTTGCTCTGGATCAGGATGGCCGCCTGGGTCATCTTCTTATAGAGAGCAAACTGCAGGGGTGGGAGGACAGATAGGGGCTGAAATGGAGGGACAGAGACCTAAACCCCTGAGGGGCACCCCAAGTTCAGTTGATGCAAGTTTCTTTCTCTAATCCACATACTCCCAGAGAGGCTGAATCACCACAACCTCACACCCAGATCTCATGCCTAATACCTTAAGTGCAATCCAGGTCAGCTTGTGGAGAGAGAAGGGGAGTTAGGGCTCCAGCAGCATTCTGGGTGCTCTGGGCTGGAATGATGGTGTGGGTTGGGGGGTATGCTTTGGAGAGAGAAGGGTCTCACCTGCTTGTACTTCCGGTAACAGCGCTGGATCACAGCTGCTGCTACCTCCTGCTGCTCCTTCAGCCTCCGGCCCTAAGAAGGGAGAAGGAAGTGTCAGCACCCAACGGCCCACCAAACAGACATCTGACGGATCCTTCCAACTTGCAGGGGGCCCTAACTCTTCACCCCATCTGAGACCTGTCGGGATGACTGCTCTTCCTCCCAAACCCCTGGGAGCCCCCAGTCTCCCCTGACTCAAGATCATATGATTCATCCCTTGAGCTATCCCCTAGCCCTCTGACCTTGTATTTTCGGAAGGCCGTCTGGATGACTCGGGCTGCCTCATACAGTTCCCGCTGCTCATGATCCGAAAGTGTCAGCAGGGCAAAATCACTCTCCATCTTGCCACTGGCAGATGTAGAGAGAAACTCGGCCCAGGAAGGTGCTGGAGGGATAGCCAGGCGACCCCGCTCAAAGGGCATTTCGCTGTAGGAGATAGGGAATAGGGGTGCCATGGGGCATCTAAGATTCCTCTTCCACTTAGGAACCACTGTGAAGGCGTATCCTCAGCAGCAGAGCTTGGAGAGTGACTTTAGAGCTTATCAGCCCATTCTAATCCCCTTTTCAAAGGCCCTGGGGCCTGAGCAGAAAGGAGCTTTGGCTATGGGGGAGCCTTCTTCCTCCCTCCCCCCTATCTTCCTTTGAAGAAGAATCTGGAGGCTTTGTCCTGAGCTGGTCACCTGGAAGGGGCTGAGCTGGGGAAATGGTCCACATTGTCCAGGTAGCTGGCTAGCCAGGACATAGTCTCACTGAGTCCCAGGGCCCCTGTCCGCTCCCGCACTGGGGCTCCAGCCTCAGGCAGCCCCATGAAATCCTCTTGTTTAATCCGCTCTGGTGTGGCTTCGATGATCTGCTTCGCCAGTGAGATCATGTCCACCTGGATGAAGGAGAAGCCAGGTGAGCCTTGAGGGGCCCCAACTGCCAGATGTTCCTGGCCTGCAGAAGCCGTAGTTGCAGTCCACTGCCTATCCTGCTCCTGCTCTCAACACAGATGATGAGGCCTCAGGGATGGTGTCCCTGCTAACCCTGTCTTTCTCAGCCAGTTTCAGATTCATTCATTTATGCTTACTGGGCTCCCACTTGGGGGTACAACTCTGTGGGGAGATGGGGAAAATATAGGAAAGACACACTCCAAATGAAGATTGAGGTGCTGAGCAAATGAAGCACTTTACTTTCCAGACTAAGTGCCTGTTGCCCCACCTGGGCCTGGCCTGTGCCAGCTAATCAGTACACCCTCCCCACATGCTTGGCCATGCCTGCCACTCCACCCGCACTTCAGTTCTCCAAGAACCAGTTCACTGCTTGCCAACCACCGACAGCCTATTGAACGGCTCCAGCCATGCCTTTGCTGCAACCCAGAAGCCTGTAGCACAGAATGCAGACTACCTCTCCAAGTTTTTGGATGTACAGTGCTACCCAATTAACCTGCTAGCCTTTCTGAAGCAGTATGTCCCCAGATTCTAGCAGAGAATCGCACTTCTCTCTCAAAGATACTGTTTTTTGTTCATGCTGCAAGACTTTCTCATGTTTACCATATGCAGGCCTCCTCCCCACCCCAGGTCATTGCCGAATACCTCCATTTTGCCACCTCTGCTCCACACTCCCCCCAACTTCACTTGACCCCACTCTGGTTCCCCAAGGACCTTGTCTCTTTGTAGATCAACAGGTAATCCCTACAACCCAGCTTGAACAAGACAGTCCCTAGAATTTTTAACTTCTGATGTCTTATGACTTCTGAGTCACAAGCTCTGACAGGAGCTAAAGCAAAGGGTTCCCTTGCCTGCCCCAAGCTGGGGGCAAGTGGCTCCTTCTTCCCAAACAGAGGCTGGACTTGGATTCTATTTCCTGAGCAAGTCAGCAGCATCCCATCCGTATACCCAACTCTAGTTCCAACCCTCACAATTCCATCCACTTGAACAGTACCGGGATCACATCCACAGCCCGTGGGCTGTCAGCTTCCTCAGGAGCAGCCCCACCATCTGGGGCTGGTGGGAGAGGAGGTGGTGAGGATGGGGGCCCTTTGGGGTTGGTTGCTTCATAGTCCATGAGGAGCAGGGGGGCCTTCAGGGCACCAGAGGAGAGCTGGCCTGGGACGACCATCTCCTCCATAGTAATCTCAGAGGCTGGCGGAGGAGCAGGGGGAGGACTCCCATCCGGGGCACTAGAATAGGCTGATGTGACAGAGAACGTGCCTTCGGAACGCTCTGAGGGTGAAGAGGCACTGCTCAGACCTGTGAGGTGAGGGAAGAGGGGGAGGGCAGCAGGAGCCATCTGCCACTCAAGTCTCCCTGCCTCCTCCAACCAGTCTTGATACTATTATCTCCCATCCCTACCTCCTCTTCTCACTCTCACACCTGTAAGCTTTCCCTTGGCCTATTCTCCCACCCATATTCCCTTAGAAAGATTAGGGCCAACTCTTACCAGTGTCTGGGCTGGAGGATGGTGGCGACAGGGCAAGTGGGAGCTCAGCTGAAGTTTCCTGTCTCTGCAGCTCCTCAAGGCAGCGGGCAAGGCGCACATGACCCCGGCATTGAGCCACGGGCAGGGGTAGCCTGCCCAAGGAGTCGGGAATGCTCAGCGCCTGTCTGTTCCAACGGAAAAGGAGCACAGCAGCTTCCAGGTGTCCCAAGGCACAAGCCCACATCTGTGGGGCAGAGAGGAGGAGGAAGGGGTTGGAGGTGAGGACCGAGGCCCTTCCTCCCATGGCCAGGTCTTCAGTTGCTAGCCCTCCCCACTCCTCTCCTGCATCCCTCAACGGGTCTTCCCTTTGAAGTGCTGTTCCTATTGCTCACTGCTGCACATGCACTCAGGAACTAAGCATCCTCACCAGAGGGGTGCAAGAGAAATGATCCACGTTGAGCGGGTCAACCTCTTGCTCTAAGTCCAAGCTTCCGGTCTCCACACTCCTGGAGAGAATGGGAAAGGGACAAGTCGGGGGAAAAGCATGCAAAGTAGGAACAGAATTGAAGGAACTGGGGAGCAAGCTGTCTAGAAGCACTAAAGTCAGTGGGATGAGGCAGAGGCAGTCAGAGAGATGAATAAGGAGTGTAAGAAGTCAGTGTTGTCAGTGGGGATATTGAAATTCCCCCAGGTGCAAGTCCTCTTCCAGCCCCTCTTCCCACAGTGACCACAGCTCCCTTTTGACAGGGTTCCAGGTCCTCCAGCTCCTCAGTCCCCTGCACATCTGTCCCAGTGGCTACCCAGCCCCTCCCCACTGCTCCTGCTCACCGCCACTGGCTCAGAGTCTCGATGAGGCGGGCATAGCCCTGGGCAGCGGCCAAGTGAAGAAGGCTCATGCCCCGGAAGGGGCTTCCATGGGCCAGACGTTCAGGACCCCTCCAGGTGGAGCGTGGTATCATGCTCTCTACCAAGACCACCACCCGTGCCTCGAACCCAGGCCCCTGGCCTTCATCCTGCAGGACACACACCCTTATGCAGAGACCTGGGCATCTGGTCCCTTGGCTTGGGATGACTTGGCAACCCCACACCTGTCTGCTCAGCTCCTAGAGCTGGACCCCTCCACACACTTGCCACTCCAGGTTCCCACCATGTGACTTCTGATGGTTCATCAATTCTCTCAGTTCGAGTTCTGGGGTGTCCCCCACTCCCACAGCCAATCTCCAGCCCCTCTGGCAGCCAGACATGACACACCCTTGCCCATGAGCCTTCATATCAGCTCAGATCAGTGCCATATCCACTGATGGCTTCTCCCCCTCAGAACCCAGAGTCCTCTCACAGTCTGCAGAGACTTAGGGCCCACAGAGCACTGAGCCCCAACTCTCCCAGTCCCCTCCCCCACCCTTGTCTTCACCACCCTCTTCAGACCAGAAATAGTCTGAAGCCTTCATGCCAAGAGGGTTCCCAGAATAGCCACTCTTGCCACAGGGCGGGGTGGGAACAGTGACGTCAAGAAGGAGGGAGGACTGGGACAGGAGGGCAAGAAGAGTCATACACTAAAGATACTTTCTTTTGGAAGAACCACCCTGTACCCCACTGCAGACCTCCCTTGTCCTGGAAGTACCTGAATCGGGGTTGCATCAGGACCCTGGAAGGGTGCCTGCCCAGCTGCTGCAATCTCTGCCATCCGCTTCTCCATCTGCTCTAGTCGCTCCAGTATGGACATCCGGAACTGGTTGTCTGAGGGGGAACAGGTATGGGATGCTCAGAGGGCAGGGTCTAGGTGATACGCTAAACACCAGCCTGTCCCAGGATCTGGAACATGAAAACACAGAATCGCCTTCTTTCCTCTTCCCCAAACAGCAGCCCCTTTACCCACCCAGTGTTTCATACAGCCTAAGACAGCCCTTACGCTATGGCTCTTAGTACTAACCAGTGGCCTGGGGCCAGAACCCGAACCAAGACAGAGATAGGAGAAATTCCCAAACAGCATTCAGCCCCAAGCTGCCCCAGATCTCTCTCTCTCTCTCTCTCTCTCTGCCTAAGACAGCCCTTACGCTATGGCTCTTAGTACTAACCAGTGGCCTGGGGCCAGAACCCGAACCAAGACAGAGATAGGAGAAATTCCCAAACAGCATTCAGCCCCAAGCTGCCCCAGATCTCTCTCTCTCTCTCTCTCTCTCTCTCACACACACACACACACACACACACACACACACACACTCTCTCTCTCTCTCTCTCTCTCTCTCTCTCTCTCTCTCTCTCTCTCTCTCTCCCCTCCCTTCTAGTGGAACAGTTCTACCAGCTTTTCTTGCACCAGACACTACCTTTGTCCCCCATGCTGAGGCTAAAGGATTCCAGGGTCCCCCTTTCTGTTAACCACGGCCCCAAAGAGCCCAGGGACTGTGATTTGAAAAGCATTGCCCCCTCTTCCCAGCCCCCCACAGCTGTCCACAAAGGGGATGGTGGGGAAGGAGGGTGACAGATGGAAAGCCATGTCTAGTCCTCTTCCTCCTGCTCCCACCCTGTGCATAAGCAAGCATCACCCCCACCCCCAAGCTCTACCTGTCCTCTCCTGAGATCACACAAGGAAAAGGAAGGGAGGTGGAAAGGGATCAGAGCCATGGGAAGACAGGCACAGAGACAGGGTGGAGGCTAGGGATGCTGTGGGGATGCCAGAACTGGATGACGGAGTGTGAGGGTAGAGAATGAGCAGAAAACAGGTATAATGAGGTGCGAGAGCAGAAAGGATAAACAAGGTGAAGCAGAGGACAAAGGAGAACTGCTCAGGGGACGGGCCACACCAGCAGCAGGAGAAAGGGGGCAAGCTAAGATACTGGTCCAAGGAGAAATGCAGATAGAAGAGGAGGGAGGAGGCCCACAGGAGAGACATAAGACACAGGGACATGAAAATCAGGTGGAGGGACAGTCACAGAGGACAGATGGGGCTGGAATCCCAAGGTAGGCAGACTGGAGTCAGAGGTGGGTGCCCAGACACCCACTTGGGTGTAGTGCAAGGAGTGGCTCCACGAGTGAGGCTGACCAGGGGCCAGAGCCCCACGGGAGAGAGCAGGGGTGCAGGGAGATAGAAAATAACTAATTCAAAAAGGTGACCTCAGAATGGGGAGACACCAAGAAGAGGAGAGAGAAAAGCAACCTCAAGACAGAAGCAGGTGCGGACAGAAATAATTCACAGGGATAACCAGTAAAAGGAACAAGTTTTAGACTGAAATAAATGCATGTGTATGTACGTGTATGTGCATCACTGTGTGTGTGTGTGTACAAAAGTAAAGAAAAAGGGGGGTGAATTATCACCAAGTAATGTTATAATGTATATACACATGTATTATACATATATATTATATATTCATTTTCTACTTTATGCTTTGCTGTGATTTCCAAATTTCCTATAACAAACACCTATCTTTATAAATACAGAAAAAACAGTATGGAGAGAGAAAAGCAACCTCAAGACAGAAGCAGGTGCGGACAGAAATAATTCACAGGGATAACCAGTAAAAGGAACAAGTTTTAGACTGAAATAAATGCATGTGTATGTACGTGTATGTGCATCACTGTGTGTGTGTGTGTACAAAAGTAAAGAAAAAGGGGGGTGAATTATCACCAAGTAATGTTATAATGTATATACACATGTATTATACATATATATTATATATTCATTTTCTACTTTATGCTTTGCTGTGATTTCCAAATTTCCTATAACAAACACCTATCTTTATAAATACAGAAAAAACAGTAAGAAAATTTAATGTATGTCTAAGTATATATATGTATCTATATATACTCACACATATCTCATATATATTTGCTTCCCCACCTCTTGGCCTTGCTTGCCTAGATTCCATCCTTTGGGATGGAGAGGGGACGGCAAGAGACAAAGATGGCTCCAAGATTTACAGGGAAGAGGAGGTGAGGGAAGTTTGCTACCAAACAGAAATGACCAATGAAGTGGGAGCTGAGGGAAGAGGGATGGAGTTGGGGCTGGGTGGTGGCCACCAGAACCTCAAGGGTCTAGGAGCATATCATGCCCCAAGGTGGTGTGGTCCAACACTTGGGGTCAGAGGCCTAGGTACTCACCGTCCAGGGACAACCAGTCAAGCTGAGTACTAGGCAGTGACAGGAAGCGGCGGGCTCGATACTCAAAGAGCACAGAAGCAGAAAGGGGTCCCTCCCGCCCGGCCACCTGCAAAGACACCAGCCCTACCTCATGGGCTGGGGAGGGCAGGATCAGCGAGAAGGGCTCTTTCCCTGGCTCCCTCTTTGGCCCCTGGTGTCAGAGCCACAGATGAACATTTCCTATCTACTCCCTACTTCCCTGCTGGTGGCCCAGAGGCCCCTGGCTTCAGTGTCCTTGGCACTAACTGGGAAGGGCCTCCATTCACTTGAGAACTTAATACCTACTGTGGGCCGGAGACCCCTTGGATTCTAGGCCTTGTAGTGAAGGATGTTTGTGATTCAGCACCAAGGCCTGGAAGCTGAGTGTCAAGAGATACTTATAAACAATCTGATGGTGGTTAAACCCCTTGATTCCTCATGATCAGAGTTCAAAGATCATGACCCTGTTACCAGATGGGGGAAATGGGAAATAACTGCTCACCAGCAGTATCTAGTGAGAGCTATATCCCAGGGTCTCAATGTCTGTAGCCTTGAGAATAAAACCGCCAGGCTCTGGTCCCAAGGCTAGCAACTGGGACTCTTCCTCCTGACCCCCTGCTTCTCAGGTCTTGTCCCCTTTCCTCCCCTGCCCTATGGAACAGGGCTGCTGAGATAGACAAACACACTCAGCAAGAGCAAAGCCATCAATTAGTCATTTTGGTGGTTCTGGAGGCAGTGCCACACTGCCTGTCGAATGAAGGGTAAGGAAAAAAGCTGGTGGCAAACAGACAGAGACATGCCTTGGCAATGGCATCTAGACCGGTGCTGCCCAACAGAACTTTCCTCAATGGCAGAAATGTTCTGTATCTGCATTGTTCAATAGGGTACTGCTAGCCCCATGTGGCTGCTGAGCACTCAAAATGTGGGATGACTGAGAAATTAATTTGAAATTTTCTTTAATTTTAGCTAATTTCAACAGGCACCTGTGGCTAATGGCTATCATACTGGACAGAGCAGGTCTAGAAGCCAATGTCCTTCAGTCCCAAGACTGGCTGGAGGAGACCAACATCTCTCTCTTCCCATTCTCTCATGAGATCCCTGGATTGGAGCCAGAGATAGACTCTACCTAAGCCAGAGGACCTGGATGGATGTTAAAGACCCATTGGATCAAATGTCTGACCTCATAGGAGGGGAGACCAAGGACCCAAGGAAGGAGCAGACTTATCTAAGGTTGATTCCCCATGATCAGAGTTCAGAGACCATGACCCTGTTACTAAGATGGGGGAAATGGGAATTAGCTGCTCACCAGCAGTATCTAGTGAGAGCTGCTCTCTTGTCAGCTAAGGAGTAGATTTCTTAGACCAGAACCTAGAGCTTCTGACACCTAAGCCCAGACTCATCTGCCTGGGGCTCAGCTTTAGGACTGGTGCAGCCCTTTTGCTCTCAGAAACAATTCAACACATTTGTTCCTGGTGCTTCCTGGAAGTCCTAAGTGCCCATACATTAGTCCCTTCCCCTACTATTCCCACTCCCCATACCGGGACAGTAGCAGCGTAGGACACCAGGCTGGACAAGTGAGGCTGGCACTGCGATGTGATCAAAGACACAGGAGTAATGCTCGGTGGCCTCTGTCCAAGGACCTGTGATGAGCACCTTGACCCCACCCTGTAGACAAAAGTCAGATAGCCACGTGACTGAAGCTTTGTTGAGAAGTCTTTCACTCATTCATTCATTAATTCAGACCCTGAGAGAGTATCTGCTATGTGGCAGGCCATGTGCTACAGTCTGTGGGTACAGGGACTGGACAGGACTCAGTGGGATGATATCTGCTAGTCTGACCCTCCTCCCCAACATGCCTCTACCTGAATCTGCAGATACTATCACGGGAGGAAGTCCTTTTCTCAGGCCCTCACAGCCCTAGCTATAGCTCCTCCTTTCCTCTCTGGATGGCATAAAGCCCCACTGCTGAGGATGGGCCTTCAGCTCCCAAAGTCTGCATGGCATCCCAGCTATGTTATCTCTTCTCCAGGCTGAGCTGCCTCTCTTTCCCTCCCCATGAAGCAGACACCAAGAAAATGAAGCCCCTGGGCACGTGGGGACTCACCCAGCCACAACTAACATGTGAAAGGGGATGAAAGGGGCCAAGGACTAGCAGGAGAGACTATGGAAACAGCAAAGAAGCTTTATACTCTGTGTCCAAATAGAGGTTAGGAAAAGAACTAGCAGGAAGGAAAGCTGAGGGAAATTAGGTCACGGACCATGGGGAAGAGGGACGGAGGAGGGAGGAGAGGAGTCTGGGACTCACCTCTGGGTAGGACCACTCTGGGGAGAAGTCCGTGATGGCGCCGAGAGCAGGAGAGAGCTGGGGGGTTGGGGCAGGGGTGCTTGGAGCCTCGTCACTGATGAGCTCTCCCATAAGGTCTGGGAATGATGAAAGACTGAAGGGCTCCAGTTCGCTTGCCCCACCAGCTCCTCCAAACAAGGTCTCCCCTCTTCCTGCCCTGCCAGATGGCTCTAGGGGGGCAGGAGAGGGTGGGGTGGAAGGAGTCGGAGAGGGGACGGGTGGGGCGGCCCCCTGGGCCTTGAGCTCCGCCCCACTGTCATCATCTTGAATAAAGAAGCAGTTTCCTCTTCTCCCCCCTGTTGCTGACTGCAGAGGAGGCCCCCGAGCAGCTGCCTGGGGCTCCAGGGCAGCAGCAGGCTCCAGGGCAGGACAAGTGGTAAGGGCGGCCTCTGCCTCAGGGAAGTCTGGGCTCACCCCTTGCCCCCCTCCATATGTCTGGCCCCTCTGGGGGCTGTTGAGAAAACGATCGGGGTCAAAGGCAGGGCTGGGAGGAGCTGGTGGGGCAGAGGGCTCAGAGCCTACAACCACAGCCAAGCTCATGGAAGGCTGAGGATCAGCCTGGGGAGCCAAATGCCCGGTGGGTGTCAAGCTGCCAGTATGCTGCTCCAGTCCTGTCAGGAGGAGGATGGCGGTGCCTCCTCTTGACGAACCCTCTCGAGAGGTTGGAGGGCTAGGTCTGATCTCTAGGGGTTCTGCAAAGCCTGATGAAGAGGAAGAAGAGGAAGAAGAAGATGGGGAGGTATGTGCCTTCGGGAGCTCTGGGGGAAGTGGGGCTATCAGTGGAGGGGGCTCAGGGGGATGGGGATGAGGGACAGAGGTCAGGGTTAGAGCTCGGGGCTCCACTTTGGGAGAGATGATGCGGTGTTTCGTGCTGCTGCACTTGTGGGTAAGGCTCCCGGAACCTGGAGTGGAAAGGGGTGGAGAGGAGAGAAGGGATAAGACATCTCTTTCCCCAGCTTTTGCTTACAGGAAGCCTTCATGCATTTCCTGGGATTTTGCCAGGTGCCAGAGGTGTAATAGTGACTGTAGCCACTGGGAGGCAGCAGAAATGTTTCTCCTCCCGCTTTCACCCCCACCCCCACCCCCACCCCCCAAATTAAACAGTACTGGAGGAGCATTGCAGGGGAAGATTCAGGAAGTGGGACAAAGCTGAGAGAAATAGGTGAAGGCATAGAAAATGGACAGAACAGAATCAAGGGGTTACCAAGTAGTATAAAGCTAAGGCTAGGTATAAGTGGTAGTGCTGGAGAGGCCAGGAGTTGCTAAAAGTAGAAGGCAAATAAAGAGCAGAGGTTGCCAAGACTCAAGTGAAAGGAGCTGGGGCCAGTGTGCAGGCAGATGGGAAGACCTCTTTCATCTGGCGCATCTTGCTGGGATATGCAAAAGACATGCAAAGCAGCATGCAAATCTTAGCAAGACAGATATCCCCCTGGCTTGAGTAAGAGTAGTGTGGCTGGGCAGGAAGAGAGCTCCAAGGTCAGGAGTCACTAACCAAGGCCCCCACTGCAGAGGCAGGCATGGGTTCGGGGTGCTGGCTTGGTCGGGTGGGTGTCGAGAATCTGCTGGACCAGCTGCTCCACAGAGAACTCCTCTGTCCCGTTCCCACAGCTCCACTTGATGCCGTGAACTACAGAAGTAAGGGGAGTGCTGTGTGAACCCACAACCCAGTCTCTAGATCACCTTGATGGCTCCTCCAAGCACCTGAGATATCCCAGAGCTTCTGGTCAGATGAACAGAGGCCAGCAGCCTCAAGACTGCTGGGACACATAGCTCACAGCTGTCCTTCAGTCCCTTCTCCACATTCTAACACCTTAGAACTCACCAGGAATCCTAGCATCCCCTCAGGAAAAGTACCCTCTTGGCTTGGAGGGAAACCCCTCTGGGTGTAGAACCCTGGCCCTTTGGGAGGCCCCCGTTTCCATTGGCCCTTGGGAGTGTCATCCCAGCCCTACTGCCTTACACATGGGCTTTAGCTGTCCCAGCAGCTCCTCCCGGGACCACTTCAGCCACTCTCGCCGGTCGCTGCTGATGGAACAAAAGATGGGGCTGCAGCCCTTTCCGCAATCCTCCAGGGCTGGGACGTTCAGGTAGTGCACAAGGACGATGTCGGGGTTCTGAGAGCACAAGGGCACACACACAGCACAGTAGGGTCTGTGGTCCAGGGGACTCAGCTTCCCGGGCCCCCACCTCACCCCCAAGTTCTGGCTCTCTCCATCCCTACCCCCACTTCTTCCCAGGCTCCTTTTCACACCCAGAACCTAGACATCCTTGTACTTCATCCTTCCAGACCCCATTTCCCAAAAGCCAACAAGAGCCTGGCTCCCTGAGCTCTGCTGTTCTTACCTGCAGCAGCCAGTAGCAGCGCCGATGGAATGTGGGGACGATGGAAGAGTGAACGTAGCAGCCATAGAGACACTGCCAGGAGACAGGCTGGTGGGGGGAGGGCTAGTCTGCTCCCCAACTCTTCCTCTGTTCAGTCCCTTTGCAGGAATCCCAGTCTTTCTACCAGTTCCTCTCCAACCCTCACCGCCCCTCTGCTGTTCCCCACACCCTTCAAACCCCGGTTCCTTGAGTCATTGATGAAGGTAGAGAGAAAGGAACAGTGGGGCCAGGGCTTCAAGATGAGCTATGGGACTATCTGGAAATCAGAGGGCAGGGCAAGAACGTATCTGAGGTGAGGAAAGTGGTTTGGGAAAGAGAAACATGTGCTGAGAGGTTCAGAACTTGGACCTCTGGGGGAAATGCAAGAGAAGTGAGGGGCTGGTGTCCTCCAGGGCCTAAGCTCTGGAGGGTGGGCGGGGTCGTAGAGGGAAATGGGAAGCAGGGAAGGGGCTATAAACAACCAAAGTGAGTGAGAAGGGAAGAGGGACTGTTAGGCAGTGATGTCACCAAACCCAGCCAAGGGGGTGGAGAGGGGTGGGTGTGGGGATGAGCTGGACACCTCACTAACCTCCATGCCCTGGACCTTCAGCTTCATGTGGTCCTCTCGCGTGGTCTTCCCATCCTTCCGCTTCTTCCAGAGGTAACCATCCTTCCGGTATTTCACCTTCTTGCGGTTGTAGAGGATAATGGAGCCATTCTGAGGCCTGAGGAGGGAAGGGCTGGCCTCGAGTTCTGTGAACAGAACCCAGGATCCCTGCCATACCTCACCTTCACAGACTTTCTCACCTGGTCTTTGGGGCGCAGGATAGCCACTCATTGTGCTTCTCAAAGGTGATCAAGTAGGATGCAATCTCCTATAGGAGAGGAGGCACTCAGGTGGGCGCCCCCTTCCTAAACTTGGCCTGGCCTCTGAGTCATGCCCTCGGTCTCCCTCTCTGTTGAGCTCTGCCAGCTGCTGGAGGGTGTTGCCAGGTACCTGGCTCACTGCCCTCCTAAGGATCTCAGGCTCCATCTCAGAAGTCTAACCCTCTCTCCTTCCCTCCCTCCTAACTAGGGCCTTTATCTTGGGGCCAGGCCCATGCTCTTCATTCTCCATTCTTCATGCTGCATATTATTTTACTCTCTCCAAATCCCATTTTGTGCCACCTCTAGACTCAGAAAACTTCAATGGTCTGACACTGCCAGGAATTCTGGATTCCTCAGCCTGACTTCAGGTTTCTTCCAGACCAGGAATCAAACCATCGTTCCCACTATTTTTACCCATATTGTACCTACCATTCCTACCAGACCAGTACATTGAGTCATCTCTGAACATGCTCTGAACAGTCACCTCCTGAGTATTAGTGCCCTGCAAGCCTGCAGTACCACTTACACATCTCTGGCTCTGGAATCCTAGCCATCCTATACAGGCAAATCCCTTCCTAGATCTCCATGAGGCCCTGCTGACTACCCTGGCTCTTCCTGCATTTACAGTGAAAATAAACACATATACCCTTCTACTGACAGTTCTCCTTTAATCAAATAATCAAATCAATAACGACTGAACACCAACTACATGCAAAGCACGGTGTGTAGGGTGTGTAGGGTGGACATAAGGACTGTGCCCTCCAGAAGGAGCCAGCCCCAGTGGTGGTTAAAAGTTAGGCTCTGGAGTTAAACTACATGAAATCAGTCAGATTCCTCATCTATACCATGGGGATGATTACAGTTTGCCTGCTCTACAGCATCATCAGAGGATGGAATGAGATGAGACAGGTCAAGTGCTCAGCACGGTGCTCAGTTTGTAAGAAATTCTTTGTAGCTGGTAATATTATATTTACCCAGACAGATATGCCAAGAAGTGAGCTCTTACAAGATGCACATCTTTATGGCTCTCCTACGACTGATCCTCACAGAGCCTAGAACAGTGCACTGCACTTGGGAGTGTGGATACCCAGACCACCATTCACACCTCCAGCCCACCAGACCTTGCGGGGCCCTGAACTCCCAGGATCCCTAGAAAACCTCATTTGTATTCCACCGTAGCCGCTCTGGAGGTAACAGTGGACAGCGCGGAAGACACTCCAGCAGTTTCTTGGGGAGAAAGATCTTCAGGTGATGGCTGTTCTCTAAAGAGAATTAGAAGGGACGGCTTAGTATACTGCTCCTGACACCCTGTGACAGGCGGGGGGAAAAGGGCTTGAGTCCAAAGCACTGGGGGAAACTGAATGGATGACAAGCAGAGGAGGGATCCAAGAATTAGAGGGGCACCACAGTGCGGAGAGGAAAACCAGCTGTGCCCAAACTGGGGGTCTGGACTGTAAACTCACCAGCAACCTCGGTGGCGTCCTTGGTATTCATGGTGAGGGCTCCAGGGGGCAAGGTCACCCCCGGCCTGAGGGGCCGGGGGGAGGGGGAGTCTGTGCTGGGAAAGGAGAGAACACTGTCATGGTAAAGGCCCCCACATCTATCCAGGATGAGGATGAGCAGGGGAGAGGGTACGGAACGGAGTGGTGCTATCTGGGAGGGATGAGGCTAGTCTGTGATGTGAGAGTAGAGCCAGGGAAGAGAGGCGAGGGAGGACGCAGACATGGTGCCAGGAGCCAAGAGGAGTGGGAAGACACACAACAGAGTAATCAGGAAGAGCCAGTCAGGGTGGGGGAGGGGAGGGGCTGGCAGGGCAGGCGCTTCAGAGGTGCAACAGCCTGGGCTCTGGAGGAAGCTGACTGAGGTGGGGTCAGTCCTGGGAGCTGGAATTCAGGGCATCCGGTCCTTGGAGGATGGTTTGGCAAATGAGAGCGTGAATACTGGGGGAGGACAGGAGGTGTAAGTCCGGGTGGAGAGTTAGGCCTTAAAAGACACACCCTGAGTTTCTTCTCTATTTGATTTTTCCATGGGAAAGGGCAGATATGATAACTGATCCTAACCTACTCTCTCTCCTCCAGGTTGGTTAGGGCCTGGTAGAATCTGGGCTGACCGCCCAGGACCCAGCTTCCCACCCTCGGGACACCCCATCCTCCACCCAGAGGCTGACAGCCCTCTCCACCCCACCCCCACATCTCTCTCCTCTAACGCCTCTGCTTCCCCTGGCCTCCATCTATACCACTCAGGCTCCGGCCTCAGCCCCCACCCTTCTGGGGGAACAGATGGGAGCTGGAGGATGCTCTCAGCGCGGCTCCGCCAGGTGTCCGGGAATGGAGAGGGGGAGGAGGCCCATCGGTGCTCGGCTGGGCGCAGTAGAGCCTGGGCTGGGGTAAAGGCTACGCCTCAGGGCGCAGGTGCGCAGGCCGGACCAGGCAGCCTGCCAGGGTGCGGAGCCTGCCCGGGGGTGGACCTCCACGGCGGGGCGGTGGTCCCCGAAGAAGCTACGAGGTGGGGAGGACCCGCCTCCCGCCTGCACGGATGGATGTTCGGGATAAGCTGCGGGGCAAGTCCGCCCACGGGCGCGCGGCGGGCAAGGAGCAGTGCGGGTGCCGGGATCCCCGGAAACCCAGACAGGTCCGCCTTGGGGCCCTGCGCCGAGCGGCGCCCCCTGGCGCGGGGGAGGAGGACGGAAGCAGGGAGTGGGGAGAACCGGGAGGAGGGACGGTGGTCCCCCGGCACGGCGCGCCACGTCCGGGCCGCTGGAGCTGCGCCCCCTGGCGCGGGGGCGGAGAGGCGGGCGAGAGGCCCTGGCTCTTACCTCCCGGGGTCCCGCGGGTGACGGCGGCAGCGGCCATTCTACCCCACACCGACCCCCCCCAGCGCCGGCTGACAGCGGCGCCTAACGTCACGGCGCACGGGGCGGGGCGGGGCTTCCCAATTAAGGGGATCGGGGGTCGGGGAGGGAACCTGGGGTCAGCACACGTGGGGCTCTGGGTGGGGTGCTGGGCGGAACTGGCTTCCCGGGTCCTGAGCCTGGCGGAAGGACTGACGGGTGGGAAGTCCAGAAGGGGCAGCCGTGCCGAGGGTCGGGATTCCGCGGACCGGGAGGCGGAAATTGGCCCCCTGACGTGACCCCGGGCCGGACGAGTGGGACGCGGGCGGCCGTCCACTGCTGGGCGAGGAGCGCTGGACTCAAGAGGCCTTTTCTCTCCTGGGCATGTCTCCTGGAATTTGGGAACCCAGCCCGACTTCATCCAGAAGGTGAAAGGAGCCCTCTTCCCCATGAACCTCTCCATCACATCACCACTTCACACAGAGAGAACTCTGGGCTCAATTCTCTTGCTTTTTAATAACCGAACAGAAAAGAACACAGTGCCTGGGAGCGGGCGTGGGGGACAGGCTTTGAGGGGTCTTGTGAGAGGGACAGGTTGAGATGGGAAGCCGAGGGCACTGTTAATGCCTCATTCAGAGGATGGGAAAGGAAGTTGGGAGAGGCTAAGGAAAGAAATGCCTTGATGTCAGAACTGGGGTAGATTCCAGCCAGAACTAGTCGTGGGTCCCCGAGGCAGCGGCAGCACGTGGGCACCATGGTTTCTCCTTACTCCTCAGGCAGCTCCATTCTCCAAGGGTTGCAGAGGGGGTTTCTGCGGGCTATGACAGTGCTGTAGGAGGCCAGAGAGCTCAGCTGCCTGGAGAAACAAGACCCCTCCTGGCCCAAGGGACTCCAGGGAGACCAAAGCAGCTGTTCGGATGAGAGAAATTGAAAAAAGAATAAAAGAATGGAAACGTAGGTCTCTCTCCAGATTTCCTAGTTCCCAAACCCGTGTCTGGCTCTCACCTACTTTATTTTTGTGCTTCTCATATCCTGCTATGCAACTTGGCTTTTGACTTCCAATGTCCCTCCATGCAAGACCAGATGCCCATGTTACCCTCCACCAGTCCAGCAGGTTCCTCTCCAACTGTACCTGGGTCCGGCCAGGAGGAAGAAAGTGGTTCCCTTCCGGTGGATAGAGTGCCCTCTCCTCTTCCAGGTCAGGGTATTCGGTGCTGCTGGGGAATCCACAGCTGCCATTGTCAAGCACCAGGGGCTCAGATGCAGCCCCTGAGCTGCCCCACTGGGCCTTCTTCAGTCTGTGGAGACTTTAGGCTTAGGAAAGGGCTGCCTGGAGGCCAGGTTTCCTGTCTCTCCATTCCTTACTCTTCTGCCCTGAAACACTTCCTGCTGAGACTGAGGGGCATTGTCATTTGACTTCCAACTCTCCACCCCCAACTCTCTGCTCCCCTTGGTCTGAGGTATTTTCAGTTCAGGGACTCAGAGGTGACCTCTCACTCTCTACTCTCCTCCAGTTCTATGGAGTGCTTCGCTGTCTGCAATGGTCCAGTTTCCATTCCTTCCTGCTCATGTGGCTCATCCTCTCCATCCCTCAGTTCCCTCCTGTCCACACCATAGAAATTCTGCTTCAATTGCACCAAGTCCATGGCTCATTTCCAATCTTCAGTTTTTTCAAAGCTCTCAACCCCTTCCTTAGTTCAAACGAGCCTGTCCCCAAACTATGCTAGGCTCCCAGAGCCCAACTGTCTCTCCTTACTCATTGATGATTCTCTGTCGCCTCCTTAGATCCTCCAGGTGGTAAGTGACAGCCCTTACCCGGGCTGGGATGCTTCCAGGTCGCTGCTGCATTCCCATCAAATATGGCTTCCTTCTCTTTCTTCTAAAAAGCATCTCAGGGGGTGGGAGACCCTCAGGGGGGTACAGGCCAGTCTGTGAGCAACCAGTGGCTCTCTGTACCGGAGCAGGGGGAAAAGGAACTAGAGGGCACAACTGGGTCTCTCAGGGGAACATGGACTGAAATGGAGTCAGGGGTCTTGGGAAGCCCAGATCACAAAAATATAGCTATGATCTGGATTGATTCATAAGGATTAGTTCATAGAAAGGAGGGCTTCACCAGTGGACTGGCTGGAGGACACCAGAGGGAAGGGACAATAAGGAGGTTTGGGGGTAGGAAGGGAGTGGGTGCAATTTTAACCAAAAAGTCTTGACAGGCAGAATATTTGTCATACCGGCAGAGGTGAAACATATTGTTCCTCCATGCAGGTGGGGCTGTAAAGCACAGAAAGGGAGCTAAGTGAAGAGAAGATGCCCCCATCCATTCTGTTTCTCTCCCAACCACCTAGCTATCTGGCATTAGGACACTCAATTATGTGTCCATCAGCCAGTGGGACTACTATTAGCCCCAGATACGTCTTACTACTATAAGGCTTTATGGTAGTTTAAAATTGTATAGCCTCACCTTCCCACTTCAGTTAGTCCCCATTTTCTGCATTTCTACCCACCTGGGCCTTTGACGAAGATTCTCCCAGAAGATGTCTCCATAGCGCTGGGGCGTCAGTCTGAGGCTCTGGAAAGGCAAGCTTGAGGGTGGAGATCGGCTGACCACCCTGGAACACCTGAGACAGGACAAGGTAGGCTTGGGTCTGGCTCTTCCCTTACAGGATCTACTGGCTCCAGGGATTCAGGAGTCCTGTCTTCCCAGGGGATCATACAGCTGCTCAGGCTTCCTCAAGCAATGTCCTCCCTTATCCATTTTAGCTGAGGAAGGTAGTGAGGCCTCTGATTTGAAAGGAGATTGGGGCTGGGGTGAGGGTGGAGACTGACAATTGTTTGAACCTCAGATCTTACTGAATCTCAAGTTTCTATACCCCACAACCAAAAAAAAACATATCTAGCAAGCAGGGCTCTCAAAGAGGAAGGCCCCAGCTACAAATAGGTTCATTTGGTTAATGCAAGGATCCAGGAGAGCAGAACCTCTTCCCTATCTCAGAAACACTAATACGCTTGTAGATAGGGAGGGGTGTGCAGAGCCGTTTGAGATGGTGCTCACCACTTCCAAAGCCCTCAGATTGAATGATGACTGCTCTATTGCTCTCTAGAAGGAGTGAGGGCTTGGCCCAGGCCCTTTATCTTCTCCATTTCCACCTCTCCTTAGGTGGTCTCACCCAGGCCCATGACTTTAAATACAGTCAACACACAGATGATCCCCAAATCTATATTTCCATCCTTGGCTCCTCCTCTGGCCTCCAGACTCACCTCAGGTTCAGCTGCCCATTCAACATTTCCTTCCCAGCCTAGTGTGCCCTTTACAGTCAGCTTCTGGATAATATTTTCATCTACATCCAGCCAGCCTCTTACTACTCAGATAGTTGTGAAGTAAATCTCAACTTCTGTATTTGTTTGAAATTTTCCATAATAAAAAAGTTGAAGAAAAGTCTGCTTGTGTCATTCGCTTGTTTAAAACCTTTCACTGATTTCTACTGTCCTTAGGGTAAAACCCAAACTCTTTTCAGTGGCTTATAAGGTCCTACTTGATCTGGCCTCTGCCTAACTGACTTTATTCTCCACTTTCCCTTTGATCATTAAGGTTCAGTTACACTGACCTGCTTCCTGGTCCTAGAAGATACCAAGAGCTTGTTTCTTCCTTGGGATTTTTTACACCTACTATTCCTTCTCCCCCTGGTTCTTATTAGACTGGCCTCTTTTAATTTTTCAGACCTCATCTCACACTAACCTCCCCAAAAGAGTCTTTCACAATCACCCTTCCTAAACTTGTGTCTCCAAGACATTCTGTTTTCCACTATATGATACTCCTGTTTGTTTTTTTCACAGCATTTATCACTAGTTGAAATTATGTTCGTTTGTTTACACATTCTGTCTCCTCCCTCTAGAATGTAAGCTCTATGAGCAGGACCCCTATCTTTCCAATTGCTGAATCCCTGGTGCCTGAGCCTGAAAACATTGTGTTTTCAAAAACTATTTGTTGAATAAATTAAGGAATTATCAATCCTGTTCCTTATTTCCTACTCTTATTAGGGAAGATCCCAGGTGTGCAATTTTCCCTCCATCCCTTCACCATCTTCCCCACTGGGTAGGGAGGACTCACTTGGCAAAGGGGATGAAGTTGTCCCCATCTTCCTGCACCTGGATGACTGGACTGGGTTGGGTGGCTGGACTGAGTCTCCTCATTGGTGCTGGGAGAATGGAAAATGAATCATTCACTCATGTAATGGACATAGAGATGAGACCAGTAGCAGTTCTAGAGATTGTAAAGAGAATGAATTGGCCCTGAAAGAGGAAAGAGTTTTAAAGGTATTTCTAGTGTTGGACATTTCTATTAGCTGAACATACTGAAGATGGTGAGTACAGGAAATGTGAATGTGGTAAAATAAAGGAAAAATCAGTTTTCTGAAGCCAAATGTGTAGAGTAAGTGAAATTTACAGACGGCAGTTAAGTAACTTTTACTATCAATATAGGATGATAAAATGAAAGAGGATGACAGATGGAGACAAGCCGGGCAGAGGCACTTGTGGGTAGTTGGTATGGTGAGAGCTGGTAAATAAATCAGGTATGAGAGGCTAATTAAAAGTAAGTGTGGTCATTGGTGACAGGGAAGGAGGGGAAAGTCGGAAATGTCTGTAGGTAAAGGTGAGCAGAGAGGTTAGTGGCACAGAGCCACAGTTAGGGTCAGCCAAAGATGACCTGAGAGCCAGTTGCAGTGGGCAGAAAAGGTAAGTGAGAACGCAAGCTAAGTTAGGAGAATGCTTGTAGGCAGCATAAAAGACAGAAAAGAGGAATTGGAAACTGTTGGAGGTGAACAAGTATTTTTTCAAAGGCAACGAGGGATGGGCTGAGAAAGCAGTTAAGTAAGGCAAAAAATGGGGGAGTATTTAGGGCTGCTGTGGCAGATGGGACAGTTAGAGTTGACTAGTGGAGTTGAAATCCAATGTCCAGGGCCAGAGGGGAAAAGCTGAACAAGGGTCAGTTGGGAGTTGAGGGGTATTCAGACCTCAGGTAGTTGGGTCTAAATGGGTGACCGAGATCTAAGAGGCAGCCAGGGGCTTAAGGAAACTAGACAGAGTACTCAACGGCTGACCTAGGGAGTAGCCAATGCCTTGGAGGGCAACCGGAGCCAGACAGGGCAGATGAGTAGCTGAGGGATCAGGCTGGGCTGGGGAGTTGGCTGGAGCCTGGGGAGAGCGGAGGGCACGGGTCGGCCCTCTACGGAGGGAAGGGCCAGGCCTGAGGGTGTGGCTTGGGCCTCAAGTGGCAAGGAGACTGGCAGGTGGGCTGAGGCGGGCCAGGCCTTGGGCAACAGCCAAGCTTAAGAGCATAACAGTGTGGCCTGAGGAGACTCACTGAGGCCTAAGGGGGCCAGGTTGGGTCGGGAGGGGCGGCCTGGGCCTGACCGAGGGTGGCTTGGGCCTGAGGCGGCGGACCGGGCCAGCTCGGGCTGCCGCACTTGAGGGCCCGACAGGGACAGCGCGTTCGGGGGTGCCTGGCCGCTGCTGACCGCACTTGGCCACAACACCTGAGGCAGCTGCCCGGCGAATTCCAGAGCGCTAGGCCGGGCGGGGCGAAGGAGAGAGGCGGTGACTGGAGCTCGGAGAGCAGCCGGCCGGCGCCGCGCGCCTGGGGGCGGGGCCTGGGCTGAGCCGCCCCCTGGGCGGGGCTCGACGGGAGGTTCCGCCCCTTAGGCGCGCCTCTGGAGGCGGCGCCGTGCGCGGGCTCCGGGCCTGAGTCCTCTCAAAGGCCCGCCCCTACTTGCCCCGTTTCTCAGGCGCCGGTAACACACCCGGATGCCGGCGCCCTGCTCGTTCTTCTGCGTCTGCAGTTCGTTCCCTGGTCCCCGCCCGGTGGGCCCCAACAGTCCCGAGGGTATTGCCCCTTTAACAGCAGGCCGGGTCCCTTTCTCGGGGACGGCGCGCGCCAGCCCGCGTGCGCGCGCCCGTCTGTCCCCCGCCCCTCGCTCCCGCCCCAGCTCGCG